TACAGTCTTGAATTAGGCTGTCATTACTGCTGTTTTCAATTCGTTACTGCTGTTTTCAATGTTACAAAGTTAAATTGATTATTAAGGAGGTAAAGAGTATTCAATCGGCAAGTGGCTTGAATACTGCAGTTTGCTGTGTAAATCTTAGCACTGCTGATCTTACCTCCATGGTCTCAATCCAAAGCATTCTTGCCCTCCTGAGAACCAAGGGAGCTACTTTTAATTGCCAAAAGGAGCAAAGCTTTTGAGTAAGAACTGTGCTGTAAGGTCTCAGGTTAATGGATGTTTCAGTTGACCAATAGGCAAGCTTTGTTTACCCTTTTTCACCGGCCTGTCCCATCCTGACACCATGTGGGCAGACAAGATCCACAAATCAAGAATGGAATGCACCGCCTGAAAGTGTGGTGAAAGCAGGTTTAGTTGAGGTATTCAAGAGAGCATCGGATAATATGAATAGAAACAGTGTGTGAGGGTATAGAACAGTATGGGGACAAAACAGGAGATTAGCCCTAAATGATCATGCTCGTTTGAACAGCGTGTGCCGGCACAATACATCAAATAGCTGCCTCCTGCTCTGTAATAATTCCATAATTCTACTTCTGTCATTAGTCACAGTGCAAATTGTGGAGAAAGGGGAGTGTTCAGAATAAATGGACAAAAAACTGGAAAGGCAACGTTCAGGATTTCCTCAGCAGTGCCAAACTCTGGAATCAGAGATTTAGTTAGCCATTTGGTCCATCAAGTCTGCACTGACCCTCTGAAGGGCATCCCACTCAGACCCACTCTCAGACCCTGTCCCCAAACCTATCCCTGTAACCCTCCTTTTTTTTTAACCATGGCTAATCTATCTAACCTACACATCCCTGGACACTACCAGACAATTTAGCATAGCCAATTCACCTAACCTGCACATCTTTGGACTTTGGAAGGAAACCGCAGCACCTGATGGAAATCCATGCAGAAGGTGGGAGAATATGCAAACTCCACACAATCACCCAACGCTGGAATCGAAACTGGGGGGTCCCTGGAGTTGTGAGGCAGCAGTACTAGCTGCTGAGCCACCGTGACACCCTTGTTGGAAGGCAAAGGGAGGTCAGCGCTGTCACAGAACAGTTGGTGTAAACCACATAATGTCAGATGCACTCATCCACTCCATGACACTGCTATCACTTTCAGGCCTGGCACTTGCAAGAGCAAAATGTAAATGAGCTACAACTTTAGAACCATCAGCCAATATCTGACAGAAAACAACTAAAGGACTACAAATACAAGTTACTCCCTTAAGACTGATTTCCTGACCTGAAAATCAAACCCTGGAAAGCCATTCACATAATATCTAAATTTCAGTTAAAAGCCTGTATAGAAAACAAAGAAGTTGTTCCATTTATATAATGCCTTTTATATCTTTAGGATGTACCAAAGCACCTAACAACCAATGAAGTATTCTGAAATGTAATAATTGCTGTAATGTAGTAACATGATCATCAGTCTGCACAGGGCAACATCCCACAAAGAGCACATTGGCTGCCCTTGTTCTCTGTGTCACAAAAGTGTTTGAAACAGGTTATCTATTCATCATCACTGATAGATCAATATTGGCCAAGGTACCGTGGAGAGCATCCCTGCTGTTCTTTGAAGTTATATCATGGAGTATTTAATAGCCACCAAACGGGGCAGGCAGGAGCCTTGCATTAATATTCTCATCTCAAAGACAGAAGGCTACCACTGATGGTAAAAAGGGTAGTGTGTCCCTCAAAGAAAATTGTGGCAGTTTTTCTTTAAAAGGAAAAGTGAAGTGAGTGAATCTCTTCTGTGTATCCCATCAATGCAGTCCATTAAAAGAACGAAGCTTTCCTGCTGTACATCACTGTAATGTGTAATAAAAGTAATCTTGCATGGAAAGATAACATCTTAGTGTTCATCTGTGGCATCTCCGGGGATCTGCTTCAGGCCTGTATGCCAGAACAATGCTTGCTTCCAGCTGTACATGCAACCAAGTTCTGAGCATAGTAGTGTTTAGAAGAAGTAGAAAGCAGTCCCTAAGGGCATTTAAAGAAAAGGATTTCACCACCTGAATGCCACACTGAATGGTAATGATTTAGGGCTGCAGTGAATGCATGTTTCCAATTGAGGGGGAGGTAGCCAAGTGCATTTGTGGGATTTTTTTTTTGAGGTGACTAGTGGAAAGTATTTGTCTGCAGTATCATTAGAGCTTAAATTGAGTATAATCGAGATCAACATAACAACCAAAGAGACAATTGTTCAGCATTTCTGGACAGGACCAGAGTTTTTTTTTAATAGGCATAATTAGACATACATTGATCTGGGGTTTGTAGCCCACAGCCAATAACTTAAAAATTCACATATTAAGAAAATAGTAGAAGTGAGTTCCAATCATCACTTTTAGTGAGATATAAATATTTTGAATGCAAATCTCAGATGTGAAGAAACAAGACATTCATTGTTTATCTTAAAGAAAGCCCCTTAAAAAGATCTGGCTATCTGTAGGACATGTTCAGAAGCAGTTTCAATCTGGCACCAGATGCAAGAGGATCTCCAGACATGAAGCAATGATGACGTCAACTGGTTAAACAACCAATCCTATTGAAGCATTCACATGTGGCAAATCCGGAGAGTAGAAGTGCTTAATACCCTTCATTTTTATATTTAAATTTTGCAGATAGCAAAATAAATGTTTAAAGGTTAATTAATAGTGCATCTAAAAAAGGGGGTAAAATGCATTTATGGAGAAATTTGACATTCCACAGGGAGAAATTTAGTTATTGTATACCAGGGAGGGTGTCTGGTAGCAATTATGAAATTCTAGCGCTGTTACGAACCCAGGTACATTTCATTTAACAACGTGGAACTTTTTTCAGGAATTTTGCAGTGAACCGAAAATTATCTAAGTGGAAATGAATTCTGTTCACTTCTGTGATCGCAGTCAAGGAGTGGAAGCTTCATGGGAATCTTGAATAGCCATCCCTTTAGACAAGCACAGAATTTCTGTGATATTCTGCACATGTGCGGACTCCAGAAGTTGCTGTCAGTTTCAGTGGAATGATGACATTTTTCAACATCATTACTACCTCAAAATCCAGGTCAATGTTTATTGATAAGTGAATTTCAACAAATATTTCACTTGAGTATCATAATTCTTCTTTGACCTGCTCAAGGTGTGATATCATTTACAATGAAATACAGCAAAATATTTTGAAGAGCGATTATTGTAAGTGATGTAAAGATTCATTGCAACATCACCTTGTCATAATTTTTAAAAATAATCCTCCAAATCAGTCCTTATCAAATGTGTGCATTTCAAATCTTGCACAGCTTGGGGTTCAGTGAACAGAATGTCAGTGAACAACTGATATATTTTCCTGTGTCAATTTTCTGTTCTATTCTTGCTGCTACTCATGTCGATGCAGTGGGCTTTGAGTGGCCTATGTAATATAAATGAGGGGTTTGTGTGATTCACAAATGGAGTAATGATTAACAGGTTAGCTAAAGCAAGATAATGTGAATGTTAGAAACACTAAATAAAAACAGTAAATGCTGAAAAATACTCAGTGGGACAGGCAACATGTAAACAAGAGCCAGAGTTTTGTTTCAGTTCAGTGACCTTTTTGTCAGACTATGAGCAACATGATGCTGGCCCTTCCTTCTTCATAACATTTGATGCAAGGGTAGGGGAAAGAGGACATACTGTATAAAATGTAGGAGTGTTACAACTAAAATAGAAGATTTAATCATTAGTAGTATGCACACACAATATAGTCTTGGGGATCCCTTTCAAAAAAGGATCTGTGATTGTAAACTGACCAATCTTGCTGTCTTATAGAGGAAGCATGCTCAAGTGAAAATAGTTGTGAAAATAGAGATATAATTACAATGTTGCATCTCCAACTCTCCCTCAATTCTTTCAACATGGCTCCCAGTTGAGAACACTGGGCAGGTGAATCTCTTCTGTGATACGTTAACACCTGTGTGCCCGCAAGCCACTTCTTGAGTGCCACTATGGACCATCAACTCCCTGCCCAAAAATCTGGGACTAGTGCAATTCCCAACCAGGGATCCAGTCTTGAATCTACTACTACATTTCCAGTCAGTGATTTCATTTGGGATACTTCATATCTCCAGATTTGAAGGTCCAATTGTCCATGGCCTTCACCTCAAACCAGATAGTGCCTGTGAAAAGGTCACTTGGGAGGAAAGCCAACCTATGATAAAAGAATGAGCTAAAGAGAGATAGAAAAGGAAACTTTGGAGCAGGAAGTCAGTTGGGATTTTCCATAAGTTTATGGATGACATTTTTCTAACAGACTTAAGTTGTACATCTTCTCATTGAGCTTAAATGATTGTCAATGGCACTGATTAGATTGTTGTGCAGGAAGACAGCATATACTCAATGGGCCAAATGGCTTCCTCTGTGCCTTAACAGCTCAATGGCTTTATCTGAGAAGATCTTCGAGAAGATGTCTATAAGCATTCTCTGTCTCTTCAGGCACTGTTTTCTAAGAAAGTGTTGGCGACTGTAGACTTCCATTGGATTGCCCATGTTTAAGCTTTCCACAGTACTGCAGTGGTTCACCACTGAAGGGCTGACTAGGCAATTCTCACCTTTTGCTGCCTGCCACCCAGACAGATGGGAAGAATTTAAAAACTAGTAATCAATCTGTTAGGCCATGTTGTGAGCACATCCTCTTTGGCCACTAAGTCCTAAGTTGGGACTTGAACTCAGAACCTCTGGCCAAGAAAAAGGGACATTATCAGTGTGCCACAGGTCTACACACCCAAGCAGCAATAAGCACCCTAAGTCTTCCACATCTTTATTTACTGTCTATCTGGGAGAAAAGGGCCCATGAATGATTCCAGTATTGCAGATGTTGATCTTAGTTTGCTAGGCTTAGGATCTGCCTTTAAACAGTGTATTAGAAGTGTTCAAAAATTATTGCACTCAATCATTTCTCATGATATTTTGTTTTGGGTTTCTGTTGAAGATACTGGCCTGGGAGACTCTGTCTGTTCAAGCCCCAGCATATCAAGCACCACCAGTCCCAAGATAGAGCCTCCACCTTCACCCCACGCTAACAGGAAGAAGCATCGCAGGAAGAAAAGCACCAGTAATTTCAAAGCAGATGGCATCTCCGGCACGGCAGAAGGTAACCTACTGTGTTTGTACTTTATTGTTCTTTAATAGTTTTTATCATTGACTGCAATTAAGTTGTTCAGAGGGTCATCAAGGGAAGGGAGCAAAAGTCTAGGATTTTCAACCATTCCAATTCCCACTTGTGTACTCCTGCTCTCCTGTTTGATAAGTTTCTCAAATCTGTTGCATTGTAAGTACAGCCTATTTGTAGAATTGCTTGTGTGGTGCTTATTAGCAGAATCAATTTAGTGCTGGTAGTTATTAATGTTGGTGATGTTTCTTACATCGGAAGGCTGGTCATGGGGTTACACTTCATATATTCATCCCATGGTAGATTGTCGAAAACAGTTCAGCTGTTGGAGTGCAGACGTTTATTTTGTTTCTTCGTGAAGACTCTTGAGTAATTGATCTGGATTCCAGTTACATTCTTCTTCCGGGCAGAGACCAGAGAATAGGGCCACTGTTAAAATCGTGATTGGGTAGTCCTGGGATACTATGCTTTTCTCCATTCCTCTGGTCAGTGATCCTCTCAAGTGTCACCATTGCTCAAGAATTGCCTATCTTGTACAACAGTTAGAGTCATTAGTTGCATTCGGAAATAGAAGACATTGCGTGATCTAATCTTTTCTCTACTTAACAGCATACATTCTAGCGGTAGGCATTAGGGATTGATGAAGAGCTGACACACTAGTTGTTTCCATTTTGTCTCCGCGACTGTGCTCAAATTCTGGCCAGTTATATGACCTCCACTGCTGCTGCCACTTTGGCAAATGTTTCAAACTGACCACAATCTGCATTAGCCACTTGCTTTCAAGTAGTACCTTTAATGTAGACAGAAATGTTCTGAGATGCTTTAAAGGTGATCTTCTGTGGAGCACCATGCCAGATGCACACTTACTTCCTGGGTGAATACCAGGTTCTAACAACAGACTCAGAGACACCATCAAAGAGTGTTTTCCCTCAACCCTTGTTCGTGTTCCTAGTACATTTTGCTCTCTTAAGAAGATTGGAACTCAACAGGATCTGATACTTACCTGTCCCTTCCCTCATCAGGCCACCTGAATTTGTAGCTATAATACCAGTGGATTTGAAATCGGATCCTGAGTAGTAAACATTCTTTAAAACAATAATTCATCAAAAAACTAGCGCTTTAATGCCAGCATTGAGGTGTCAGGAGAAGATTGCTGGGGGCAAATAAGCACCATTTCAAAATGGTCCCAGATAATTGTCAAGTCTGGGTCCGTGATACTGGCATGAATTGAAATACAAGTTGAGTTTTCCCAGATGGGCCATACATCTGGTGCCTAAAATAATTTCTTTTGCTGTGATTGACATGTGCACAATGTGCTGTTATTCTGCTTGATTGCATATATTCTTTTTTTTATTTGTTAATGCTCCTGTATCTCCATCATCCAGGGATGCTTTACTACGGTAAAGGCGCTTTGTAAACAAACCTAAGTTTGTTGTTGTATATGATGCGATGGTTTTCTGATATATGACATTGTGATGCTGACTAGCTAAGTGATAAGATTGGTTGCCATTTGCAATCATACCACTTCTTGCTGGCCTTGCCTTCATGTAACTTTTCTCCAGGCTCTGGAATATCCTTTTTGAACCTCTGTACTTCACTTTCCTCCTTTAAGACACTCCTTACAACCTATGTCATCTGACCTAATATTTCTTTCTGTGGCTTAGTTGATCGATAATGTTCCAATGAAATGTTTTGAGAGGCTTCATTATGTTATATTGTTGTCTATTGTGATATCCATATCGATAAAGTTTACGTGTTTGTCATGTGATTCAATCTTAGTTTCATGACAGAACAGTGTCAAAATACCAGTGTTTTAGAAAAGGGCAAGTCCTTGCTTACAATATGAGATTTATTGATGGCCACATTCTCAATCCTGTCAACCATTTTGGGGTAGTGGCACGGTGGTAGTGATGATACTTGTTGTAAATCTTGCAGCACTCTGGTCCACCGCTATTGGAGCTAAATAGTTCCTCCCATCCCATTTTACTGGTGTTGGGCTGCAATTCCATTGCAGTAAGTGATTTGCTGGATCGGTCAGCACTGCGTAACCACTGCACACTTGCTCTGTGGAGCTGATCAAATGGATGTGACCTGCAAGTAATCTAACTGTCAGAGTCCAGGCTTTTAGAAAAGTTGCGAATGAAAAAAAAATTAACTCTCTTTCTTTAAACCATAAAAATTGCAATTACTAATATAGGTGATTAAATCAGCAGGCATAACCCAAAACATTAAATTGATAAGAAATTGTGGGGTTTTTTTGGCATTTTCATTTCACACATCACTCAGATCAGCTAATCAATCGTTAACTTGCCGAGCTTTAAAGTTCATTATTGGTTCCAGATATTTGAAACCTCCATTAGCATTTCTTTCAGAAGAAAGGTTTAATTGAGTATAGTACCAAGACTCAGTCATCATTTAAGAGTTCTGGATACTGCACAAGGTTCCACAGTCTTGATAAACTGCAAATCCTTGCCAAGAACCTCAACTAAGTGTTGATATGAAACCTGTAGTTATTTTATTTCAGTGCATTATGGTGTTACTGTTGCTTACCAGTAGCACGGACACCACTGAATCAGGCAGTTGTAGATTCAACATCCGACTGCAGAGTCTTGAGTGCAATATCTAGGCCAATATGCTACCATTGTTTCAGATTTAAAGATCCCAAGCCATTATAAGGGGTTCTCTTATAACGTATGTTACAGCAACGTGAATTGGCTATAATGCGATTGACAAACAGGGGAACTTTTATTTGTTTTCATTCACTGGATGTGGACATTGCTGGCCAGGCAGCATTTATTACCCATCCCTAATTGCCCAGAGGGCAGTTACGTGTCAACCACAATGCTGTGGGTTTGAAGTCACATGTAGGCCAGAACAGGTGAGGATGGCAGTTTTCTTCCCTAAAGGACATTAGTGAACCAGATGGGTTTTTCCTGACAATCGGCAATGAATTCATGGTCGTCATTACATTCTTAATTCCAGATATTTATTGAATTCAGATTCCACCATCTGCCATGATGGGATTCGAACATGGGTCCCCAGAATGTTGTCTGGGTCAGTGGATTAACAGTCCAACGATAATACCACTAGGCCATTGCCTCCCCTTCGAGCTATTTGTAAAACATGTACTTGTGTTGGCCATCGAGTATAGATTGTATATCATAAACCTCAAATATAATATCACACAGAGAACAACCGTCTTATAAGGAAAATATGTGAAGTCTAAGTTGGAAGAGTTTATGCTGAACACATTAAATGCATCAGCATTATTTAAAAATATAGCTCATTTAAATAGAAGAATGGACTCCAAAGCTAAATTGATGGTATGAGTAAAAAGAAGTATACTTTAAAATAAGTGCTGTTAAAACATGCACCTTTGTGTGTAGTATTTTTCACGAAATTTTGTCACATATTTAATATGTAAGAATTTTTGAACTTGTTCATGTAAATCATTTACACCAAAAGTTGTCTGTGTTACAACCTGCTCCTTTCCTGCACTTTTTTTGAATATAGTATTATTCAGGTTTACAACACATTTTAATCCTACAATTAACTTCAATGCCAAAGGACTACGTAGGAAAGAAAGGTCAGATTCCTTTGCTTCATTTATCTGAAAATCTATCCAGAAGTCTGTGCCAATGGAATGTCAGGTCAGATCAGCATTTAAATGGAGGAGGGAATTTTACTAAAAATTGCCAATGTATCAATTTTGGGGAAGTTTCATGGAGGGTTGCTGACTGTGAGCTCTAGCTCTCTCAATTTTGTACTGCTCACCTCTTTTGGATCATGCTCACACTATCATGCAGTACTGACCATTGCTGGGATTTCCAGTGGCAGAATCCTATTTAAAGCCCAGCTGTCACTTCATTGCAAATACAAGATCAGATTCGTAAATGTGTTGTCCCTTTGCAGCATCATCTGTCTGATAAACTGTCATTATAACTGAAGCTACACAGGTAAGGAAGAATTTTGGAAAATAAAATTGTTATGTGTCCTTTGTGCCCCTAACCCCACTTTTCCATTGGCCCCGTTATTTATATAGCGCGATTTTCTATAATGCAAAGTAGTAATAACTGGGAAGGCGATGGCCTTTGTGTATTATTGCTAGATTATTAATCAAGAGAGCCAGGCAATATTCTGGGGACCAGGGCTTGAATCCTACCATAGCAGATGATGGAATTTGAATGTAATGGTGACCATCAAATAATGACCATGAAACAACTGCGATTATCCTCATAACCCAACTGGTTCACTCATGTCCCTTAGGGATGGAAACGACTGTCCTTGCCTGGTCTAGCCTACATGTGGCTCCAAAACCATCACCTTGATGGGAGAGATAGTAGGAACTGCAAATGCTGGAGAATCTGAGACAACAAGGTGTAGAGCTGGATGAACACAGCAGGCCAGGCAGCATCAGAGGAGCAGGAAAGCTGACGTTTCGGGCCTAAACCTTCCTCAAAAATGACTTCTTTTTGAAGAAGGGTCTAGGCCCGAAATGTCAGTTTTCCTGCTCCTGTGATGCTGCTTGGCCTGCTGTGTTCATCCAGCTCTACACCTTTGTTGTCTTTGTGTCTGACATTGATTGATGGTTTGTGATTGATGCTTAACTGCTCTCTGGGCAATTAGGGATGGAAATAAATGCTGGTCTAGCCAACAATGACCTGTGAACAAAAAGAAAATTTTCCTGGTGTATTGGCTAATGTATATCCTTCAAACAACCCCACAATATAGTTATATTGTTACTACAATGTGGGACTTTGAGGGCACAGTTGCTGCAGCTAACCTATATTACAACAGTGACTCTGTTTCAGGAATATGTCACTGTCTGTAAAGTGTCATTTCTTGGGCATTCTGAGGGTGAGAAGGATAAAAGTTATAAATGCAAGCTCCTTGCTGCTGTCAATTAAGAAAATATTGTCTTTCTTAGATTCAAAGTGAATAATCTCACAGTTCTCTATATTGAACTCTGCCACAGTTATGCA